CGTGTGCGCGGAGAGACAAAATGGCGCCCGCCGCTCCTTGGCTTGTCGGCGCCATGATGGGCCTCGGGGAGGGGGGGCCGCTTTTCGCCGATTACTTCTCTGCCTCTTTCCAGAAGTTTCTGTTTCATCTCTCTGTGTCTGGAGAGAAGCGAAGAGGCCTTGAGACCGAGGCCTTACAGTTTCCTGGCCAGGGAGAGAAGTATTGTGGCTGTTGCTCAGAGGGGCTGTGGGGCGCTGCTTTCCTGGGGGAGGGGGGATCGGTTTGGCGGCTGAGCCGTGCTTGGTTTTCATTCATGTAGGCTTCCGACTCCTGGTATTTTACCTTGTGTCTGGTCACAGATCTGCCATTTTCAGCGTCTTTTTGCACTCAGTGATTATTTGCCCCCGTCCTCGTGTTTTTATGGTTAGGAAACGCCTCTGCTGTAGTTACCGGTATCCTTTATGTTCATGCACGGCCTAAGAGTGTAGCTTTATTCTCTTTTAAAATTTGTGTGGCCTGGTAACACATAAAAGTGTGTGTCTCATAACTGAGTTGAAGAACCAGTAAGAGTAGTTATCAAACCCGATGTAGTTAATTTTTTTCAAAAGTTATTAAATAGTCTTGAGTAGAAAAAAAAAACCAAACCAACAACCAAACAAACCTGACTCTGAAGTAATAAAACTCCTCAAAGTTGACTTTAAGTACTTTGTGGTGTTTAATGTGGTATTTTAAGTTTTTGTCTTGAAAGTTTGACCAGTGGTGAAACAGAACAAGAGGACCGTAAACTTCTGGATAAAAGTATTTATGTATGTATAGCTTAACCTGTGAAGAATAAGATACATTTTTCACTAAAAAGACTTGAAGAATTATGGACTTGTAGTTTTGTACCTACCTTATAGGCACTACCTTTGAGGTTCCTCTGAAGTAGTAGGTGAGGGGCTTGTTCAGTGAAACCGTGAGCCTGTGGCCAATCCACATGCACTTGTAAGAACTTCGAATAGTCTCACTGAAGTCTGTCAGCCTTTTTTTTTTACTGTGTTTTTGTAGAGCTGAGAGATTTCTCTAAGGTGAAGTGCACAAGGGCATTATGAGTAGCAACGTGTATAAATCATGAGACTTGTTGTAGCCTTGGAAGATGTGGCAGTAGGCTCAATTTCAGTTGGGTACTTTGTTTAAAAACCCCAGTTAACTTAAATGTTAGCTGGTACTCTCCTTATCCTTCTCAAGTAACTTTGAAATGTAAACTTACAGAAATCTTAGAATTCCCTTGAAACTTCTTCAAGATGAGTCTTTGGGAAACCTTAGATGAAGAAGGGAAGGACTGAGTAGAAGGGGAGGGGAAGCGTAGATAAGCAGTGGAATGCCAGTGATTGTGATGGTGAAGATCACAAATAGGGGAGTCAGTTCCTACTCTTTATCTAATGTTGTAAAGTTTTCAGGGTGGTAGGTGATGTATCAATATGCTGAAGTGTCACTGAGACTATAGTTAAATAGTCTTCTGCAGATGCCATCTTAAGTGGTCAGTGATCTTGTCCGTATGCTGGTATGTTTTGAACTAGATATCAGTACGCCATGTGAATGGAAAAGTGAACAGCTGCTTTATCTCTTACTCTTGAAGAGATCTTACTCTAGATGTGTCTTTGTACAGATGCAAACTGATCAGACTAAACAGTATTTGCTGAAATATAAATCCAAAGATTAACTTTTCTGTGAAGTAAGTCTACCATTAATACATAATATATTAATGATAGTGGCTGAAGAAGAACTAACTGCTTTGATTTCAAAGTAATATGTATGCAAATAAAAGCGTGGATCGGAGTTTAGTCCTACTGGTATTCTCAAAAGCACATGGAAAAAGCACAGTCTTAGGTAGTGGGAGAGCAAAGTGCAACTATATTAGTTTTCTGTATGCTACACAGTTCACTACAAGTCTATCAAACTGTTGCCTAACTAATAATGGAATGGCTACACATGAGATTCTTTACAGAAAGCAATTTTAGGTGTGTCAGAGGAAGTACAAAGTAAATAGTTTTTCTTGGCTTTCAGTCCTAACTTTTTGGTTTTTAAACTTTCTGTCTTCATGTGCAGGGTAGTGATACAGAACGAGATGGAGTAGCCCCAGAAAAGTCTTCTCCAGAAAGAGAGAAGAAAAAGGAACAATCAGATGCCTCTAGTTCTCCCAGAACATCAAAGCATCATTATTCAAGATCACGCTCACGGTCAAGGGAAAGAAGACGGAAGTCAGGTATGGTCTTAGTAATGTTCCAGTGTATGCATGTAGAGATGAAATCTCTTTAAAGCTGTTTTGCAAAAAAATACACAGACTTAGCTCTAGTAACTTGTTAGAATTGGGAAGAAAATGAAGCTACTAATTTTGGTTTTGTACCTTAAATGATACATTGAAACTTCTCAATTTTAGTGATAGAAGTGCTAAGGAAACAGGTCACTGTTCAGGGGATGGAGGTGAGGGGACAACACCAAACAGAAAACTATGCTACTTGGTCTTCATTTTAATTAGATATGCTTAGACTGGGATGTTACTTTTGTGTACTTTTTCTTGCTTGTAACAAAAATGTTACCTGCCTGAAAAATATGGCTGGAGTATGAGGTGGACTAATGATGCCTGACTGTCAGAGCTTAAATAAGTGCCAACAAAGAACTGGGAATAACTGCTGGAGTTTGCATTCTGTAGTGCATGCTCAAATAGTGATGTTTGTTTGCTAAATCTCTCTTCTTGACTTTGGAGGGTAGAATAACTGAAAAGAACTAGAAATATTATAGCCAGCTAATCTCTTGTTTAAACTTGGTAAATAATGATAAATGCTTTCTTCTCCAGATACTGAAGGAAGAAAACACAGAAGCCGGAGCAGAAGCAAAGAGGTAATTAATGCTTTGTAGTGTTTAGGTAATTGTACAATACGTCTTAAAAAGTATCTTGTAGTAATGTGCGTATGTGTAAACCTATATAAATGATTTTATGGTAAGTACGAGAAATTGGAAACGTTAAGCTTAAAAATGGATATGGAGATCCTTTCATAGTGAATGAAGCATGATTGCAACCATCATGTTGACAAGGTAATAGTTTTATAGAAAAATGCTGTCAGAAACTAGTACCTTAATTTCTCTCTTTTTTTTTTTTTTATTTTTTTTTTGGTGGAAACAGCCAAAAGAAAGAATTCATGTGGAGAAATAGAATGGTGTTCTTGATGACTTTCACAGAGCTTCCATTAACCAAAAGCCTTGGGTGGCTTTATTCCTGGCCAATGTTCAGGAGTTTCAGTGATACATACTGATCTACTTAAGTATATTAAAAGTAATTCCCCACCTGTCTGAGCTCTGTTTATTGCATCCTTTAATTGTAAAGACTGTCATAGCTTGACAAACAAGCCGAGTCAGATGGAAGCATGACAGTAGCAGCAAAAATTTCAGAGGGCTGTCTCTTTTTTTTTGAATAAGTAAATATGTGTATGTGTATATATATATATACACATATATAGGGGAGTGAGAAGAGACAGCATCAATAATATCTTGAAAGTAACTGGCTTACACACCAGAGGAGAGATGAAATGAGCAAACCAGGAGCATCGAAATAGTGACGAAGAAGCTTAAGCCATGTGGGGCAATAGCAGGCTCGGTCAGATGAGGGACTTTAACTTTTGACCTGGGTCAGGAACTTTTCCTTCCCCAATTCTAATGGAAGCTCTGTTTAAAAAAGGAGAGAGGAGAAAAAAAAAAAAGGAAAAGAAAAATAATCTAGGAGAGTTTTTGTGAAATTGAATATATTGTTTAGCTCACATGATAACATTTCTATAATAAATCATACTCAGCGTGCTAATGCGCGAAGAGACTGAACTGAAGACGCTGCAGACTCAGATAGCAAAATTATAAGCCTACTTCATGATAAGGTAACTATTAGTCATTCAAACTCATATTTCCCTTTAAAATATCTTAAATCCGTTATGGGATATAATGGTGGTTTATTACTAAGTGTGTGCCTGGAAGACGTGATTAAAAAAAAAGTCTCTTTAATGTTTAAAAAAAGTCCTTGCTTAAAATTATGTCCAGTGTTTTGCCATGCTGTTGGATCTAATCTTACACAATTTTATTTAGCAGTTTTTAAGTTTCACAGAGTGAACAGATGAGGAATAATCTCCCACAGTAGATTTGCTGTTTTCATTCATTTGCAAGATTAAGCTCTTTGTCTGTAGACTAAATAATCAGCAATTCTTTTTA